AGCTTCCATCAGAATATATTTTTTTTCCTAGTAAATTCACATAAAGAAATTTAATACCTTGAAGTACTATTCATTATCCTTCCTAATCTGGCTTTCTAAAATCTTGGTTAGTCACACCCTCTGAAGTCTTTCCAACCTCTATACAGATACTAAATTATTTTCTGAACCCAGATAAATTCTTAAGAGTCTCATTGTAATTTCTACAAAATTATAAACATGTCATCATCCCTTGGCAGAGGACTCCAGCATTTTTTGGTCTTCAGTTCCCACAGACATTCTACCTGAAGAAAAGCAATTCAAATTATCAAATGTATCTTTATTCTTTATTCTCCTTCTCTGCTTCAACCCCTGCAAAAATGATCTCAGGATTAAAAGCAACCAGATTTTCTCCACAGCACAAACCCATGAGACAAGATTAAATAGTTAAAACTTGTCTTCTTTCTCCTCAGCAGAAGTCTTTTAAATAAAACAAGCTGTTCTGTAAATAAATGAAGTAACAAAGCCTGGTTTCCTATAAATTTTAGAATTATCTAGATTTTCTTCCCTCTACAATAACACAAGCATAGTACTCAAAATCTTACATGGCTGTGTAATGTCTTCAATCTCCCTGGATTCTTTGGGCATGTGTAGAATTTCAACTGAATGTAAAAGAACAAAAATGAATAAAATCCAGCTATTAGGGTGAGACACTAAAGACCTTGTGAATTGGAGTGTCAGGAGGCAAAACTAGAAATTTGTCACAAAATGGGACTTGATCAGATAATGAAAACAGCTACTGGCAATAGCAGTGAACTGGATATAAAATAGCAAGGTTTCTCCAAAATAAGTCCCTCTAAAACCAAATAACTCAAAAAAATGTTTTGTTTTGTTTTTTTTACCATAGCATTTACTAACATTCACCCAGGGAACGGCGGCTGCCACTCCGGAACCACGAAGGAAACAAGCACGCGGCGGGTTTTTTGGTTTGGGGGTTCGCTAGTGGTGGTTTGGGCGTTCGCTAGTGGTGGTTTGGGCGGTTTTTTGGTGGGTTTGATGGTTTGGAGTCTGTTTTTTTTAAACCCCCACCCGCCGCGGGCTCTGCTGCCCCCGCGCGGTGTCCGAGAGCTCCGCGGGGATCCCGGGATATTCCCGCAAAAACACCGCCTGGAGCACGGCAGCCTGCCTGGGGTGGGTTCAAAATAACATTTCCTAAAGAGCTGGAGGGACAGGGAAGGAAAGGCCCCTCTGTATTTTCACGCTGCATCAGCTCAGCCACAGGCTCAGCGGAAACTTTTCCGGCAAGGCAATTCCAGAATTCACTTCACCTTGCCTAGCCTATCGTGTTGTTTAGTCTTCACAAAGATTAAAGCTTTTAACTGGGGAAAAAAAAAAAAAATTAAGAGCACAGAACCAGGCAAAAAATTATGCAGTAGGAAAAATCACGGTATGCCACACAACTTTCACTTCAAGAATGAGGCACGACGTGCCCTTAAAAAAGAAAATCACTCTTTACAGAAACAGACAAATATAACAGAAGAAAAACATGCTCACAAAGAAAGAACAGAGATACCACAGCAGACAACTGCAGGTGCATTGGATGGAGTTCTCAGGGAGAGAAAAGTGACAGTAAATGTCACACGTGTACTGAACATTTTCACACCCTTCAAATCCTGCTGGTCCACCACACGTGCAGGACAGCCAGCTGCAGAGTAAACTGTCTTACAGGTTGCTGTCTGCCCCTTCCAGACAAACAGTGGAAAAATTCAAAATTTATCATACAGCTCAGACTTATAAAGAGGTTCTCGAAGAAAGAAACCATCACAAGATTAGTTAACACTGAACAAGGACAAGGACAAGTAAAGCTACTTACAGGGTAATTCCATTCCTGCATAAGGCACCAACAAACACTGCTGCTGAGCATTAGTGTAGAATTATGTCAAAACTACCAATTTAATACACAATGGAAAAGAGGTTTTTTTTAAAAAAACCTTTTGCCCACACTGTTACATATTAAAATCAAAGTAGCCCTAACTTCTTGAAATTACATTAAAGTCTGCAGTAAAAAATTCTTATCCTGGCTCTTTTTAATGCTACAATTATAAAGTTTGCTAGAAATGAGTGAACTTCCCAATACTGAGTTTTCAGTTCTTACCCTAATGGTTCTTCTCACTTCTACATTGTCATTTCCTGAAGTCACACTTACAGTTAATCAAAGATGGAATTCTGCATCTGCATCAAGGCTCTATCAGAAAAGTGGCACATCTACCACACAACAGCAGATTTCTCTAGTCCTTCATCCATCCATCCCTTAACACAGGAAGTGTAATTTGCATAGGAGAGTACATCATAAAGAGTACTTAGCCCTTGTTTATGAGCTATTTTTAATTATTCTTAAAAAAAAAAAAGTTTTAGTAACTACATCAAGAAACTTAAAGACATTTAAAGGTCAAAACCCACCAGTCTAAAGGCAGTCCCTTCATATAATGGCACGGTCTCTATTCATAGAAGCATAAACTCTTTTTATAATACACCTTGCTGTGATTATCAAACTAACTTAGTGGGAAACAAAATACACAGCAAGCAGAAGTAATATTTTATACAGAACTGAAGCTATCATATTTTTCTAACATGAATAAGGCCTATTTTTCAACCACAGAATGGTTTGGGTTGGAAAGAACCTTAAAAGATTATCTAGTTACAATTCCTCCACAATGGGCAGGGGACACCTTCCACTAGACCAGGTTGCTCAGTGCCCCATCCAGCCTGACCTTAAATACTTCCAGGGATGGGGGGTCCACAAGTTCTCTGGGCAATCTGTTCCAGTGTCTCACCACCCTCACAATGAAGAATTTCCTCCTAGTATTTAATCTAAACCAATGTGTAAACTTACCTTTCAAAACTTTAGAAATATCTAAACTACATTTGAAGCATCCTTAAATATGAAGCAAAAATCAGTAAATTCAATCAGAATTAACACATTTTTTCACTATTATTTAATTTGCAGTCTTTACATTGTACTAACTCAGGCTTCTGCTTCTAATGAAGCACCTGACCCAAACACAAAAGCTCTGAACTGAAAGGTATAGAAAATAATGTTATAATGAGTCATAATGAAAAATAATAAAAGCCTTTCCAATGCTCAGATAAGGCACTTCTAACAGAGAGATTATGGTAGCAGTGCTAACAGAAAGAAGCAGCATTACTAATTTCCTAGCAGTTTAACAGAGAACCGCCTATGCTCCACTTGGAACATGATGGAATTGTGTGAGGCAAATCTCAAAAGGCTGAAAAGTCTTTGCAACTAAATTCACAGTAATTAGATTTCTAATTATACCCAGAGCATTAGTGATTCCTACGGTTAAAACTGCCTGAACGGTTTTGTTATTTCCCCCTTTCTGAAAACTCAGTCTTTCATCGTTTGAGCAGAAATTCTAGAAGTTTGAAGAAGATGTATGTTCAGGCACAGACTACAGTTAAAACAGAAGAAAAGAGTTCTTGTGTACGGAGAGCAAAGTTAAACTGTTCCATTATAAAAAAAAAAATATTCCCTTTAAAAAAGAAAGAGGCGGCTGTGGTATCGATGCACCTAGAAAGCAGGAAGCACAGAGCCTTTTATGTGGTGAATCTGAAGGTTAAAAAGCCCCAAAGCAGCATTCTCAACAGCTCAGGTTGTACACTTAGTTCTTAAGGCACTTGCACAGATGTATCTGAGGCAGCTTCTGGCAGCAGCTTACACTAGTCACATCATACCCTAATTACAGTATCTACATCACTCCACCAGCACTGCCCGGGCAGACCATGTCTTTTATTATCGATACAGTACTTTGAAATACTGCTGTGTTTTTACAAGTACCAGAAAACAACCTCTTCCCCAAGAAAGCAACTTCAGCATATTGCTCCTCTCCTGAACTACACAGACACAGAATGTGTAATTACAGGACAGAGAGTCTCATTTGGCCAACTGGACACGAGATGAAAAGCCTTGAGACCTTTATTCTATTCATAGCTCTGCCCTTGAGCTGCTGCGTGACACAGAAAAATTTGACTTTCCTGTGCCTCAGCTTCCTCTACCTTCCTGAGTCGAGTCTATTTATCACTCTGCATCCTAAAAAACGTTTCTCAGTACATTTTTTTGATCTGTGTCTCTAGGTATCATCGCAGCTGAGAAGCAATATTTATATAGTACTTTAAAGCAATTCTGAGATTGATTCATTTGTGACAAAAACAAAAAGATGCAACTGCACTTGTAAATTATTAACTTTGTCAGCATTTATTTAGAGTAAGCCTTCATATGTAGGAAGCCATCAGCTACTTACCTGTTGTGAAAACTCAGCTTTTATTGATTTCTGTGCCATCTTGTTTTCAATGCGTAGTGCTTTGCAAAAAGATACTCCTCAGAACATGCACACTCATTGTACTTAGACAAGATGTCAGTTAAACTTTTCTGTGATTATTAACTCTTTTTGTTCTGTGAGCGATTAAAGGGCACACTTCCTGCATTGCTGCAGTTTGGATGACTCACATGTTTAATCTGCGCCCAAACACTGAAATCCACAGGATAACAACTGTGAAAAACTGATATGCTGTAACAGGGACTGAGTTAAAGTAGGAGGGATCCTAGCATTATATAAAAAAAATAATAAAATTAAAGATAAAAATGTTTATAAGAGTTTAAAAATGGAAATAGCTAATTTTAACACATTCTGATTTTTTTTTGGCAGTTGAGCAAGAAATGTTAAATTCTGACCTTAAGAAATATACATATTTTGGACTGTCTAGGCATTTTGTTATTCAAATACCATGAAACTGGCTAAGAAACATCCTGTAGTTTCCATACCTGACTAGAATTTTGGCACCATCCTCACACATTATTACTTCCTCAGGAAAGCAATGCATACAAGAGCAATATAATCATCTAGAGCCACAAAGGAGTAACCACTTGAAATCAGCTACCTCAGGTTCAAACACCTATTCAGGATATTCATGCACAGTACAAATTACTTTTTGCTTGATGCCTGGATGCACAATTACATTCCTTCTGAAGTGCAGAAGAAATACATAATTCATAGAGAGCTACACCTCATGACCCAAGTGTATTTGTCCTTGCAAGTCATACCCAGGTTTGGCTGCTTTATTGCTTCAGCTTGACACCGTGATGTACACCCAGACTGCAATGAGAAAAAATGAGATGCTACAGTGACAAGGTTGGCAGAAGGCAACAATGTAGGAAAAATCTCCTCTGCGAAACATCCCTAAGCGTGACAGACATGGTCAGAATCAGTACTAAGGTCACAGCAAAAGCAGATGTTCAACTCGAGACAAATCACAAATTACCTCCTTTGTCCCAACAATGCCAGCAGAACTGATGGGAAGCAGAATTGAAATGGGCATGGAAGGTGCCCAAAGCCAGCCTGACTGCATTAAAGCCAAGGGAGAAAGCCCATGTGATCTATTCTATAAAATGAGTGATGGGATGGAGCCTCCATGAAGGCTGGTAATACCTCAATCCCTACAGCCACTGCTGCTATGGCCAGACTCTGCACCCGAGGGGATACACGGTGAGGAGAAGGAGGAGAGCCAAAGAACCACTCACAAACAGGGATGAGACAGCCCTCACAAGGAGGTATTGTTTCCAGCTGAACACATTGCTGAGGGGTTCACAGTCAGCTGAGATGAATAAGTCCTTTCACCTCTGAAAGCACTCAGCTGCAGAGCAATTGCTACGAGAGGTAAAGTGCTTTCACTGCAATGTACCTTTCCAGAATATAGAAAGCTGCTGACTTCGACCTCTGAAAATGTATTAGAGGACACAGCTTTGGCTGTATGTAAGACACTGAGTGCTGTTCCTTATGAACAGTGTCCCAATCTGCCTATTCAAAGTCACAGGAACCCTTCCCAAAAAATTGCTGGGGGACCAGGGAGAAAATGTACAAGAGTTGAGCAAGTGAAGCAAAGTGAGACACTTAAGTCAGGTTAAGGTCAAATCAGTGAAACAAATGAAAATCGTACTCTGTTTTAAACTGGCCAAGTTCCTCAATGTGCCCATCAGCTAGTCACACAAATGGAGAGAAGGGAAACAGAAAGGCTGAAACAGCAGCAAGACTGTTGCTGTCAAGAGAAGCAAGAGCAACTTACTGTTTCAGGATACAAAGCTAAGGCCCAGCTGTGTGTAGGGAGATGGAGAAGTATTCTTTCACCTTGCTTTTCTATCTTGCTAAAAAGTCATCATTTGTTCAGAACTAAAACAGTAACCCAGGGCTGAAAAAGCTAAAATGAAGACAGAACAAAGATGAGCACAAGTACAGCACTACAGCCACCCCTTGATCCACAACATGCTTAGGGTGCTATGCCCTTAATGCCCTTCACTAAATCTGCTCCTTACAAGTTCCTAAAGCCGGAAAAGCGTTCAGGGAGTTCTCCTCCTCTGAAGAAATCCCAAGGACGAGGCAACATTATGCTTTCTCCTTCCCTCAACAGTTTTGTCATGCATCATTTCCCGTTGCCCCTGCAGAGTTTTGTCCTGCACTGTTAACATTACAGCAGCACTAGAAATTCCTGGAGAGACAGCAGGGTCATAAAGTAACGTTGGGTATTTCACTAAATAGGCGGTAACAGATCACAAAAAGATGAAACACTTTCATTCCCCTATTCCTCTTGTCTGCCCTGTGACGTGCTGCCTTCTAAAAGACAGTACGTGAATATTTTTAGTTTTCTTTTTAACTCTTCCACGTTCTGATTCACATTCACCGAGCTGACTGTCTCTTCTGTCCTGGCAGCCCACAGCCAGCTGCCTCAGGTGAGCCAGGAATGCACACATCTGCTCCCAGCCAAGCAAAAAGTAGCTGGCACAATTACAGCTGTGAAAGACACCACCGCAAGTGAGTGTCCTGAGTTGCAGGAGTTGAAGTTTAGCCACGCTGCTTATTCTGGCAGACTAATAGGGAGCACCAAGTAACTCTAACAGCGGTAGCAATTTCTGGGCACCAAATCCATTTTTCTGTGTTCTGCACAGATAAGAGAATCATCCACCATAGCTAGGACACTAAAGCTTTAAGTTGCAAGCTGAACACAAGTGGAATACTTCAGGCCAATAAGAGAAATCTTAGAAAAGTTAAGCTACTTTACCAGACAACTCTCAACTTCTATTTTTACATCTTTGTTTCTAATACTCACTGCTGCCTCAATAACATTACTTGCTATTTTCAGCGTTTCAAAAAAGTATCATAGTGATCCTCAAATCCCTAAAGCATCTGAAAACTAGCAATTCCTTAAAACTGTAGCTAGATCCATGTTATGAGAACTTTCTGAACATTTGTTCTCAGTTTTGATGCAGAAAGTACAACACTAACACACAAGACAGCTTAGCAGATGAAACAAACCTTGAAGTTACTAATAACTCAAACATCAGAGAAGCCACAATAATCCATCTCAATGCTGTTTCAGGTCTCTTCCTGCAAAGCAAAAGAAGTAACTGTTTCAGGAAACTTAGACTGCTGCACAATACTGTCCAAACAGTCTTTTTTAAAAAAGCTAATGCCCACAAGGTTAATCTTTCAGGCTTTCCAGCCTGGGAAGCAGAGCCAACAGCAATAAAGTCTGCCTTAGAGAACATACAGGCACACACACTCGCTCCTAAAGAAAAGGCCAAGGACAGCTGCTGAGCAATTAAAATGTTTACTATCACCATTTCCTTACCACCCTTCACAACACCAGCATGAGTGCCTTGTAATTCCTGCAATAAAAAAAAAAAGATAAGCGCTCTCACACACCTAACCATCAACTCAGCCATCTTAGCTCAAACCACTTTAATCAGATTTATGCTCCCAGTGCCAAGTTGAGCTGGCCCAGAGTTGTTGTTTTTTACAGGAGCACTCCTGCATTCCCATCTTCTGGCAAAGGCAAGTAGGACAGTCACAGCAGCAGAACACAAAACCATTTCGTGCCTCACTCCACAAAGAGGACACGTTTGTCTCTGTGGCCTAGTTGCTCACACACCAACAGTGTCTCTTCATTGGTTTTTCATTAAACAACAGAACAGAAGGAAGTCAGAGGTCAGAGTATGCAAGATCCACTCCTTTGACGCAGCAAAATGACACTCCCAGTAACTGAAGACACAACAGTTGTACCCACAGTAGATATCACCACACATACCATGGGGCTTTAGCCACGGGAGAAAGAGCATGCATGTTCCAAACCCTTGTAAGAAGATACATTTCTTCAGCACATTTTTAGACACTGATACAAAAAGTGACAAAAATGCCATTTCACTTTGAAAGAGATAAACCAGTATTTATATTAATGATAAAGGTTTGATTGCTTTTGATTAATTTAGCCTTTTTTGCTGCAAGACTGGTTTCCATGGAAATGCAAGCAGACTAAAAACCTGTAAGAAGTGAGTCAGTTTTGCCTGTTTATGTCTCCTCAGTTACCATGGAAACAGACATAAAAAAAAAAAAAGGTAATAAAAAGGATAAGGGTCCTGAAATACCTTCAGAAAAATCTCTTCCCAAAGCTTTATCTCTTTGGCTTCCTTTCCAGAATTAGAGTTGAAAATAACACAGAGCAACAGATGACAGAGTAGTGACTTGATTTTTTTACGGAGACATCAACAGAACATACCTGGAAACGTTTCAAAAACCACATTCAAACTGACAAGCTCAAAATATATAGCTACAAATTGTACTAACTTAGGTTTTGGCAAAAGTACCTAAAGCAGAGTATCTATTTCTTTACATTAACTCCATGCTAATGTAGAGACATACAAGAGAGAACAAGAAAACAGCATCACGCTGTCCTTGTCCTAAGTATATTTCAATACTGTGAGAAAGGGCGAAAAAGAAAAAGCTGCCTTGAGGGAATGAGTCCGATATTTCCATAGCCAGGACATTTTTTTAATGGAATCATTTCTTCCTTACAACCCATGCATTATGAAGTTGCAAAATTGACTCTACACATACCAGGTTAAGTAACAAGTATCAGTATTAAATTTGTTATGAGTAAAAATGCATTTCTCCAAGCTGATAAAGCAAACCTAAGAGGCCCTCTCAGCAAGAGCCCATCTCCCACTGTACTTTTCAGAGACAGTGGTGCACCTTCCCACAAGCTGCCTTCTTCACAATGGTACACATAATACCTTCATTCCTCCTCAGAGCCAAAAGCATCAGGGAAGGTGGAAGGAATAGGATGGGAAATTGTTAGGAAAGAGTGCACTTCTCAAAGCCTGATCCTATCACCACAATTACTATGCAAGAATTCCCTGGCAGCCAAGTGTCCAGAAACACAACGAACAGAGAGGTACAACTATCTGCTGCTCTAAGATCCTTCTGGAATGTTCAGGACAGCTAAACCTGACCACAAACTTTTTACTTCCCCGTTTGTCTCCCACATCACAGTTCTATGTGCTCAGCACACCTCCGTGCAGCTCAACACTCTTCATCGCAGGGCTACGGAATCTGTCACTACTGCCCGCCTGGGAAGGACACGCACGGAGGGTGCACGGCTCTTACCACTGCTGTCAGAGCCTGAAGCTGCAACACAAAAATCGGGAAAGAGGAGAAGAAAAGCTCACCTCTGTCCCAAACACTACTTATCCCAACAATCACCAGAACTCAAGGGCCCTCCTGCACTCACACAAGCGTTACACACCTCGTTTCTGTGCTTTGCTGCTGCTCTGAGAACTGACAACATACAGCCACAAAACAAGGCTTTGAGAGAGAGGGGTGGCAATCGCTGGAGGTCTGTCTTGAATGGAAGAAACAGCTGAACTTAATTCAATGTTAATTAGTTCACATTAGCCAAATTCAATCTATTCTTGTCACAGGAAAGATAAGCCTTAGAGAATTAATTATTCCTTATTCTCCTTTGTATTTTGGCAAGGTGTAGAGTTGCACAGTAAGGAGAATAGTCTCTCAGAACTCAATAAGGCATCACTCAAAGACAGATTTAACATTAAATGGAGAACATTTAATGTTAAGAGATCGTTAAGAGAAAAACTGATGTGTATCTTTCAGTCTATTTTGAAGTTTAGCCTCCTTTCTTGCAGAGGTCAGAAGTGCATATAAACAAATTACTTTAGATATTCACTTACTTTAGCAGCTAAATACACAAACATCCAAGTCTAGTCATCTCTCTCTCAGGGAGACTAGATTCTTTACAAAGTTACCATTCAAATTCATTCATAACAACAACACGTGCAGGCATTTTCTAAAACCTTAAGTGAACAAACCACAAGTGAACAAACAGCAAGTAAGCAGATCAAGTGTTTTCCACCATACTCTACCAAATTTGTTTGCTTCCGTTATTAAGGACAGGTGTCAAGTTTACTAAAACCAGTCAATGAAGAGATTTCAAGGGTGTCAGATGTCAGGATCACATTAGTTTCGTGCCTCTTCCAGCGCAGAGAGTAGAACAGAACAGAGGACTGTGACTGCTGAAGCTAGGGAGTCATTATTAAACAGAAAAAATACACTGGTCACAAGAAAAGAGAAAATAATTTAATAAAAAGGTAACTTAACACACAATCAACAATCTTGGATCATTAAGTACACAAAAATTACCACATCTGACTTAGTTTTGCCTTTGGGGACATCAGCATTATCATACCAATCTTAAACGAAATTTACAAGGTCACACACTGAATTCGGGAAACCACCTGCCTTGTGCACTGAACTAGGCAAGGCTCCCTTAAGCAAATAGAAAGTATAATTGGCCCATTATATGTTGTATCATATTACACATGCTCAAGGAAGTTTAATCGCAGTTAACTAAGTCAATTCAAGTCTGTAATTTGTTAACTTCCAAATGTTTAGAAGCTTAACATTAAGTCTTGACATCAAGTTTCCCAATATGGACTTTTTAATTTGTATTTTGAATTTGCATAAGTTCCTCCTGTGTAAAATTACACGATAAATAAAATGTTTTTTGGTGCGTACAAAACTCTGAAGACCAACTGAAACCTTCGCTGCTTCAAAAGTAACATGGAAAATTTTGTCCTCTTACTGCTGTTCACACTAATATTTCAAGGAGCTTCATCTGATATTTAAGACACAATCCATAAAAGTGTCTAGAAGGAACAACAGTACAGCCTGAATCAATTGTGACAACTGATAAAGATCAATAATCTAAATCCTTAAAGGAGCATCATCGCTTTGCATGTGCACTGCAACTTGCGAGAATAAATGAACAACACGTTTTACACAAAAGATTAACAGAAAGGAGACACACACCAAACAAAAGGTCTGTGATGTCACCTCACAGTGCTCCTGTCAGAACATCCTGGGTACCCAAAATCAGCCAATGCACTCTAACTAGGCTGAAACTTAACGTCACCTTTCCAGGTAAAAATGTTCCATTTACAGAAACCCACAGTATTTGCACATGGATTTGCAACCCTGCGTCACAAGGCAAAGTTACCACAGAACTCCCCAGTGACTGGCAGGGCGTGAAATAACAAATGGCACACAAAGCTAAAGGCAGAAAAACCTGGGAGAAAGTCAGAACCCTCACCAGCACCCTGGTGTATGACAAACACAAAGCTGTTTCTCCACATGTAGCAAAGATCTCGCACAAATTGTGGCATGAAGGGGTTTTTTGCAGGCCTTGGGAAGTCGAAAGTGATTTCCTGGTGATATGAAGGAAGCAAAGGATGGCAGGTGGCATAATTTCATAATGGATCATGTGGTAGCAGATAAGTGTAAGGTGATAGATCAACTGAAGGCCACAATGACAGTCCTGAGCGGTTCTGGAAAGACCCTGGCATCTGGAGAGGGGTATTCCCAGAAACCCACTGTAAGGTGATAAGGCTACACAAAAAGGGACAGAGACTCCTGATGGCTTCCCAAAAGACCCCAGCAACCGTTTTTATATTTTACTTTGCTTTCACCTTTACTAATTGTACTTTGCTTCCTTACAGACTAATTGTTCTTTGCTTCCTTATATCTTGCCTTACTCATTGTACTTTGCTTTTTATACTTTGCTTTCCCCTTTCCCCTTACTTTGATATTTTACATTGCTTTATTTATTTGACCTTTACCTTATAGATACTAATTTTACCTTGCCTTACAAATTTTACCTCGCCCTATACCTTAGAGACTACCATGTATATAATTTACCTTTTTTTTTATATATTGTACTTTAGTGCCTTAGATCACGTACTCCAAGTCATTGTATTTTGGTTTGCCTTAAAGTGTGTATTTCTTGGTCTCGGTGAGTTAAAGTCTGTGCTAGTGAGAAGTGGCTATATTTTTTCCTTTTCACCTTGTGTTAGCAAGTGTGTTTAGATTTTGTCCTAGTCTTTTTAAATTGGTCTGTCATTGACTGGGGTTGCTTGAGTTTTGTATTGAGGTGTTATAGTGAGCTCTTGCTTCTTAGGGAGATGTTTTTGGAGAGTGTGCTTCTGGTTTTAGGTTTTATTTGTTAAGTGGAATTTTGCAGTTAAATGTTATCACAGATGATGCGAACCCTGTAAGTTGTCACAGATTTGTATTAATAAAAGTTATTTTGTGAGCTGGTTTTTTGGTTTTTTTTCGGTGCTGGCAGGCTTGTCTACAGTGGAACAACTCGTAGGAGAAACTTGCTGAGAAGGTTCTCCATTGCTGTTAAGTGCAGTCCCCATAAATAGGGTATCAAAAGTCCTGTCCATCTCAATGTGAGAATCTGTCAAGCGAGGGGTCTCCCCCTAAGGAGACACTGACTGACTGTTTTCAGACTTTAAAGGCTTTGAACTCCTGGGAGGGGGACACTAATAGACAAAAAATACATTAATACAGGTGGGACAGAAAAATCCTCCTTTTCACGTGACAATAAGGCAAAACTGTTAACTACGACTGTACTTATTTTCATGCAGGAAGGATTTTCTACACCTCATCATCAATAGTGCTACTTTTCAGAAGGTCACAATCAAGATTCTTAACTCCCTCTCTGAAGCACAAACCTGAAGAAACAATCCCTGTGCAGAAAGACACTGATTAAAATAAATTCAATCTTACAATACCCGTTCTAGTACAAAGCACCTTAGCAGTTCTCCTTGCAAAAATCACTGCATCAGCACAAGTGTCATATTCGAGTCCTCATCTGTCGTCATGCAAAACTTCTTAAGAGCACATAACCACAGATTTGAAGCATATAGAGGTAGAAAAACACTTAAGTTTAACAAGCATTGCAGCAGAAACCTCCAGCAGTACACACGGAAACGCGACACAGTGAAGGCAGAATTTGACCAGGGGCTTGTTGTCGGTTCTGGATCAGTGTTTCTCAGCTGCTGATCCAGGGAGCAACAGTCGGCTGTGAGACATCTGAAACAGCCCGTGGAACAGCTGCAGAGAAGCCTGGCTTGTGTTTTGGGCAGGAGGGGGGGAGGCGGGAAATGTTTTCTTGTTTTTTGTATTTTCAATAAATAATTCTCGCATGCGAGCAAGAAAGCAATCAACACAGGCAAAAATAAGAGGAGTAACTGAGCAATCAAACCTCGGCCTCATTTCTGTGTCGTTGCAACTGTAACCTTCTGTGGCACAGTACAATCCTCAAATTGTATTCAATGAGGTCAGATGTCTCTTTGGACTTAAAAAGGTTGAGAGACATCCTTTTAGATGACAGATAGTTGGCAGATAATAACAGGGAAGATAAATGGAAGATGAGGATTTCTGAAGGACAAAATAAGATGATGAGATAACCGGCATACACGATTATAGAAAGAAATCAAAATTCACCAGAGAAAAAAAACAACTTGTCATAGACATTTTAAAATGTAGAGAAGATTCAGGGAACAAAAGCCTCAACGTGCAAATTCTTTATTTTGACAATTAGGAATCATAAACTAACACAAAATATTCCAAGAACTGAGATCTCTAATACTAGATTTGTAAAGCATGAACCTGCTCTTGTACCCAGTAATAAAAGTAAAGCCATAAAGAGCATTAGGTAGTCACAAATTCGACCCCTTAAGCATACTAAAAGCTCCAGCATTTGAGTGGGCTTAACCACATCCCTCTAATACCACTAAATCAGAACCACCTCACTGCTATTGCAACTATTTGAGAGACATTTTAGGGAGCCCAGCAAGTTACACGGTGCTTTATACTTACTTGAATCCTCCCATCTGAGAAGGTGCAACTTCCAAGCGGAATAGTACAGAAATCCCAGTACCAGAAAGAGGCAGAGGGCTAGCAGCAGGTTACGCATAAACACCAACAGTCCCATCTTCACATTAAATCTGCTCTTCTACATGACCTGAGAGAGAAAAGCACGTTGAGGTTGGGGTCGGAGCCGCCTTCTCCGATGGACATCCCTTAAGAGGCACTCCCACACCCACAGTAATCGTGTAACAAGGTAAACACATGGTCAAACACACCCGCTACCCACACCGCGTCAGTGAAGTACTAACTACCACCCAAGGCAGCTGCCTTTTTTGGCTGTCCCAAGGGTACGCGCGGCT